CACTTTTTTCTCAGGTCCTCCCCGTTCTGTGGATTTCAGCCTTGTTTTGACGCAGGGTGCTGTCTTCAGGATCGGGAGTGTTTTTTGGCTTGAGATGAATTCTATGTGGAGTACTGTGGAGGCATGGAGTTTTACACCTGCTGCCAAAGTCTTCTGAAAATCACAGTTCTGGAGTTTTGACGACCTTCCATCCATCCATCCATCCATTATCTTCTGCTTGTTCCGAAGTCGGGTTGCGGGGGCAGCAGCTTAAGCAGGGAAGCCCAGACATCTCTTTCCACAGCCAACTCTTCCAGGATGATTCCAAGGCATTCCCAGGCCAACTGAGAGATATAGTCTCTCCAGCGTGTCATGGGCCTTCCCCGGGGTCTCCTCCCAGTCGATCATGCCTGAAGCACCTCCCTAGGGAGGCGTCCAGGGGGCATCCTTACCAGATGCACAAACCACCTCAAATGGCTCCTCTCAATGTGGAAGAGCAGCGGTTCTATGCCGAGACTCTCCCGAATAACCGAACTTCTCACCCTATCTCTAAGGAAGAGTCCAGCTAGCCTGCGGAGGAAAATCATTTCTACCGCCTGTATTCGTGATCTCATTTTTTCGGTCACTACCCAGAGCTTGTGACTATAGTTGAGGGTAGGAACGTAGACCGACCGGTAAACAGACAGTTTTGCCTTACAGCTCAGCTCTCTCTTCACCACAACGGACCAGTACAGACTCCGCAATACTGGAGATGCTGCACCAATCCATCTGTCAATCCCACACTCCATTCTTCCCTCACTCGTGAACAAAAGCCTGAGATACTTGAACTCCTCCACTTGAGGCAGAACCTCACCCTCAAACTGGAGAGAGCAATCCACCCTTTTCCATTTGAGGATCGTGGCCTCAGATTTGGAGGTGCTGATTCTCATCCCAGCCGTTTCACACTCGGCTGCGAACTGCTCCAGTGAGAGCTGAAGATCACGGCACAATGACGCCAACAGGACCACATCATCTGCAAAGAACAGAGATGGAATTCTGAGGCCACGAACCAAAAACTCTTGGACCACTGGCTACACCGAGAAATTCTGTCCATAAAAGTTATGAACAGAATCGGTGACAACGGGCAGCCCTGGTGGAGTCCAACTCCCACCCTGAAGGGGTCTGACTTACTGCCGGCAATGCAAACCAAGCTCTCACACCGCTTGTATAGGGACTGAACAGCCTGTAGCAACGGGCCCCCAATCCCATACTCTCGGAGCACCCCCTACAGTGTACCTCGAAGAACACAGTCAAATGCCTTCTCCAAATCCACAAAACACGTGTAGACAGGATGGGCAAACTCTCATGACCCCTTGAGGACCGTAGTGAAGGTAAAACGCTGATCCAGTGTTCCACGGTCAGGAAGAACCCACATTGTTCCTCCTGGATCTGAGGTTAAACCAACGATCAGACTCACTTCTCCAGTACCCCTGAATAGACCTTACCAGGGAGGCTGAGGAGAGTGATGCCCCTATAATTGGAGCACACCCTCCGGCCCCCCTTTTTGAAGACAGGAACCACCACCCTAGTCTGCCAATCCAGTGGCACTGCCCCCAATGTCCACATGACATTGCAAAGGGGTGTCAACCAAGATTGTCCCACAACATCCAGAGCCTTAAGGAAATCAGGGTGAATCTCACCCACTCCCAGAGCCCTGCTGCCTCAAAGCTTTTTAACTACCTTGGTGACCTCAGCCACAGTAATGGACAGCTCAAACCCAAAGTTTCCCGACTCAGCTTCCTCCATGGAAGACATGCTGGTGGGATTGAGAAGGTCAGAGAAGTATTCCTTCCACCTCCCTACGACATCACTGGTTGATGTCAACAGCAGCCCACTTTCACTAAACACAGTGTTAGTAAAGTGCTGTTTTCCCCTCCTCAGCCGTTTGATGGTTTGCCAGATTCTCCTCGAAGCTGACCGAGAGTTGTTATCTAAGGTCTCACTTAAGTCCTCCCACATCGGAGTTTTTGCCTCAAAAACAGCCAAGGCTGCGGACCGCCTGACCCTCCGGTACTCCGCAGCTGCCTCCAGAGTCCCACCGACCAACAAGGCCAGGTAGGACTCCTTCTTCAGCTTGACAGTCTCCTTTACCCGGGGTATCCACCACCGATTTCGTGGATGGCCACCACGAGAAACAGCCACAGCTCAAGGCAGCTACTTGAACAAGTGAGGTGCAGAACATGGCCCACTCAGACTCAATGTCCCCCACCTAAGCTGGGATGCAGTTAAAGCTCTCCCGGAGGTGCCAGTTGAAGATCTCTCTGACGGGTTCTTCTTCCAGGTGTTCCCAGCAAACCTTCACTACACGCTTGGGTCTACCGGGTCTGTCCGGCATCTTCTGATGCCATCTGACTCAACTCACTACCAGCTGGTGATCAGTTGACAGCTCAGCTCCTCTCTTCACCCGAGTGTCCAAAACAAACAGTCGCAAATCAGATGACACGTTTATGAAGTCTTTCATTGATCTACGACCTAGGGCGTCCTGGTACCAAGTGCACTTATGGACACCCTTATGTTCGAGCATAGTGTTTGTGATGGACTATGACTAGCACAGAAGTACAACAACAGAACACCACTTGGGTTCAGATCAGTGAGGCCGTTCCTCCCAATCCTGCCCCTCCAGGTCACACCATCATTACCCATGTGGGCATTGAAGTCCCCCAGCAGAATAAAGGAGTCCCCTACGTGCACACCTTCCAGCACCCTTGCCAAGGACTCCAAAAAGGCTGGATACTCTGAACTGCCGTTCGGTGCATAGGCACAGACAAAAGTCAGAGCCCGTCTCCCAACCCGAAGGCAAAGGGAAGCCACCCTCTCATCTACTGGGGAAAACTCCAACACACAGGCACCAAGTTGGGGGGGGGGGGGCTACAAGTTGACCCACACCAGCTCGATGCCTCTCGCCATGGGCAGCTCCAAAGTGGAATAAGGTCCAGCCCCTCTCAAGGAGATCAGTTCCAGAGCCCATGCTGTGCGTTGAGGTGAGCCCAATTATATCTAGTCGGTACCTCTCAACCTCACGCACAAGCTCAGGCTCCTTCCCTGCCAGAGAGGTTACATTCCATGTCCCAAGAGCCAGCTTTGGTAAGCCAGGGTCAGAGCGCCAAGGTCCCTGCCTTCGGCCACTGCCCATGTCATCATGCAGCTGACTTTTATGGCCCTTCCTGCAGGTGGTGGGTTCACAGGAAGAGGTGGTGGGTCCACAGGAAGGACCTGATTTTTCTTTTTTTTTTGCACAGCAGCTATTTGTTTGGGGTCTGCCTTTGGTCTGTGGTTTTGTCTGCCTCTCAGTGGCTAGCCAGACGCAGGTGTGTGGTTTTGTGGTGGACTTGACTTCAGCTCATGCACTGATGTGTGAACTTTTGGGGGGTTGGGGTTTTGTGTGATGGCAGCATTGGCACACTTTTAAGTTTCTTCTGGGATTTATTAGTATAGTATTACTGTCAGTATGGAAATTATTATCTCTAATATAATCACTGTCACTGATGTTAATGTAAATTACAGTTTTTAGCTTTATTTTCACTCCTGCTGTTGCTGTCGATAATATTGGTTTGGGTACTTTTTTGAAAATCCTTTATATTTTCATATTTTACCTATTACTGTTGTGCAACAATACACCAACACAACAAGAGGGAAAAACGTCATAATAAAAATATATAATTTCATAATTCAACAACTATGGACCTGTCATTGTGTAAATGTTTATCTCTTTATCAATGTACTTTTTGTTCTGTTTTCCTCCTTTTTGTGTTTTTGTTTATTGTGTTGTTTTGTCTGTACAGTGCACTGTTATTATTGTCAAATGTATCAAACATTAACACAAATAATAATAAAGCATTAAATATACTGATTGGTTTAAACTTTCGTCTTTCAGTTCTCTGATGTCATTTCTAACCTCTCAACCATTCTACAACCTGCAGTGACATCAAACTTCAACCTTTTCACAGTCTGTGCAGCTGAAAACAATGCCTGCAGTTTATCTTTGAAAGCTGTTTTCATATCTTTTTGAGAGTTGTTGCAGATCTTCCGCTTTCAGATAAAACCTGCACACTTCCCTCTTTTCTGTGCTCCCTACAATCATTTCCTCTGCGGTCAACTCACACACTCGCCTGTTGCAACATTTTTTTGTCCTGTTGCTCTTTTCGGCGTCACGTTAGCCCGCAGATCAGACGTATGTGTTTAGAACAAAGACATGCTGCTCTTTTACATCATGAAACTACAATTGTTAGTCCGGAAGGAACACGGAGCGAGTGACTGCCCATTCCGGAGGTCAAGGAAAGCTGGGAGAAGGGTGGGGTTGTATGATGGGAAAGTATGACCTTCCCCAGCAACTGTCAAGCAGCCTCTCAGTTACAGCCTGAGCTGGGAGTTTAAAACAGGAAGTGGTGATGACATAAACCAGGACACTGTGCTAGTGCTGATAAAAGTAGCCTCCAAAAGGCCATCGAAGCTTACTCCCAGGGGCCATTTCCCACCAGATCCATCACTCGCCTCACATCATGAGGTTGTAATCCTTCACTTCACTGCCTGCATCAAACCAGAGGTTAAACAATCTGTCTCCAGCAGAGAGTGCACAGAGGAGCACAGGAAGCGACTGCAGGCTCCATGCTGCTGCTCAGGTGTTGTGCATCTTTTTTGTCAAAAGTGGGGAGGTGGGTGAAAAAGGGTAAAGTGAGCAGAGTTAATAAGAAAAATGAAGGGACATGATGGAGAGACAGCTGGTGAGTCAGATGAGTAACGTAAATTCATTCTTATGAAGCACGCTGAAGAAGCACAGAGGCTGAGCACTGTATGAGTGGAATTTACACAAAGGATTTTAAACTATTTTAAT